CCAACTGCACCTTCCTGCTGCTGGCAGCCTCCATCTACCTGCACGACCAGAACCCCGAGGCTGCGCTGCGGGCCCTGCACCAGGGGGACAGCCTGGAGTGGTGAGGGACCCCGGGAACGGGGCCACAGACCCCCAGGAACGGGTCACACCTCCCCCAAAAATGGGGTTACAAACCCCCCCAAAAACGGGGCCACAAACCCCCAAAAACGGGGCCACAAACCCCCAAAAACGGGGCCACAAACCCCCAGGAATGGGGTCACATCTCCCCCATGAACAGGGTCACATCTCCCCCAAAAATGGGGTTACAAACCCCCCCAAAAACGGGGCCACAAACCCCCAAAAACGGGGCCACAAACCCCCAAAAACGGGGCCACAAACAATGGGGCCACAAACCCCCAGGAATGGAGTCACATCTCCCCCAAAAATGGGGCCACAAACCCCCAAAACTAGGGTCAGAAACCCCCAAAAATGGGGCCACATACCCCCCAAAAACGGGGCCACATACCCCCCCAAAAATGGGATCACACCTCCCCCAGGAATGGGGTCACCTCTCCCCCAAAAATGGGGCCACAAGCCCCCAGGAACGGGGTCACATCTCCCCCAGGAACAGGGTCACATCTCCCCCAAAAATAGGGCCACATACCCCCCAAAAATGGGGCCACATACCCCCAAAAATGGGCTCACACCTCCCCCAGGAATGGGGTCACCTCTCCCCCAAAAATGGGGCCACAAGTCCCCAGGAACGGGGTCACATCTCCCCCAGGAACGGGGTCACATCTCCCCCAGGAACAGGGTCACATCTCCCCCAAAAAAGGGGCTACAAATCCCCAAAAATGGGGGTTTGGGGTGGGGAGGGACCCTCAGGACAGTCCCAGGTGGCTTTGGGGTCAGTCCCGGGTGGGTTTGGGGTCAGTCCCGGGTGGCTCAGAGCCCTGTGCAGCCGTTCCTGGAATTCCAGCCGTTGGGAATTCCCGGGATCTGCCGGGCTCCGAGTGCAGCGGCTCCGCTCTCTGCCCCTGCAGCCTGGCCATGACCGTGCAGATCCTGCTGAAACTCGACAGGCTCGACCTGGCCAGGTGGGATTGGCCCTTCCCTTTCCCTTTTTCCTTTCCCTTTTTCCTTTCCCTTTTTCCTTTCCATTTCCCTTTTCCTTTTACCTTTCCCTTTTTCCCCTTTTCCTTTCCCCTTTCTCCTTTTTCCCATTCCCTTTTCCTTTCCCTTTTCCTTTCCCATTCCCTTTTCCCTTTTCCATTTCCCTTTTCCCTTTCCCTTTTTCCTTTTCCTCTTTTCCCCTTTTCCCCTTTTTCCTTTTTCCCTTTTTCCCTTTTTCCCTTTTCCTTTTTTCCCTTTTCCTTTTTTCCCTTTTACTTTTCCCTTTCCCCTTTCCTTTCTTCCTTCTCCTTTTCTTTCTCCTTCTCCTTCCCCTTTTCTTTCCCCTTTTCCTTCCCCTTTTCCAAGAATCAAACCAGGCCTCACCTGGTGAAATAAAACACAGAAAACTCAAGGTGAAAGCCCCCAGATTTTTTTGTTTTGTTTTGTTTTGGGCTGAAATCCCTTTTCCTTTGTGATTCCCACTTTTCCTGCAGGAAGGAGCTGAAGAAGATGCAGGAGCAGGACGAGGACGCGAC